CAACCTGGCTGGGTACTGTGACAAAAGTATACCACTTGGCTACCATTTAAAACTTTATGCTGTGGAAATCAATTGTTGGCATGGTTGCTGACACAATAAATCTAAATTACTTTCCAATTCTTTAGATAGCAATATAAAAATTATTTTTATCTCTAATTTAGTAGAGATATTCAAGGTAATCATAATATTTAAATGCACAGCCTCAAAAAACCTCTTCTTCCATTTTAAACTTGAAGGACAGGGAGAAGCCAGGGAAGGCACACAACATATTTCTCAGCTATATCATGAAACGTGCATAAAAAAATCATCATGAGAAATGCAAAAAGAATGCATAAAGCAGAAGTCACAGCATGTATAAAAGCATAGCCAGACACAGGGCTAGACCAAAAACTGTGGCATCCAGAAAAGGATATTTTGGCACACCTTCAAGCTGACATACTCACACATTTGTCAGGGGATCTATTTTATGGGATAAATTACTTCATATTATTTTACATCAATAAAAACTAAATGCAGAGAAAAGTTCATTAATTACTTCAATCCTGCTAAGCTAAAATGTCATTGTTCTGATAAAGCACAGAAAATTTCTTTAATTCTTGACCTATCTTGTCTTTTATTCTGCTGCCCCACCCAACTTCTTGAGTATAAATACATAATAATTGAAAATCTTCAGCATTGGAGGACAAAGAAAAATAGCATCCTGTCTCTGACTTACTGTAGTGATATTTTTAGGTACCCTATAGAACAGTCCTAGACCTCTCAGTTGCTTCTCTCCTGCTGTTAGCCCCTCGGTTCAATTGCACAGAGAGAGGGCCAGGGTACAAACACAAAGCTGAAAAGGTGGACAGGAAGTAAGTAACACAGACTCTTACAGGTCCTAAGAAGGAATATGTGCTGCTCCTTAAGAGAAAGCAGAGGAAGCTCGTGCCTATTTCAAAATTCAGAATTCATTATAAAAATGAAAATATTAATATGTCTTAGATCATGAGAAAGATATGTGGTGAAAACATACATAGGTAGCTTCAGAGATGGAATGCACAGGATGAATAAGAATATCTAGGAATATTACATTCAGCAGAAACACACCGACAGATCAGGGGAACTCCCCTAAGAATCTCTTACATTAATTGGTGTGAAAGAGGCTAAGGAGAAATCCTCAAAGATAATGGAAGAAAAAATATAATGGCTTCAAAAAACCAAGAAGTAGTTCACAATGTGTAATGCTAAAAAGGAGAGGTAGACCCACTAAATTATCAAGAAGCTTGTGAACTTCCTGAGAACAGTTTTAGTAAAGATGAAACCCAGCTACACTTACTATGTGTGAACTCCTTTCAGCCACCTGATCAAATCTCACTTTCTTCTTCTGAAAGACAGGAAAAACACCTTCCTTACCCACCTTGTGGTGTTAACACATAATATATGTAAAAGTACTAGATAAAGTTTAAATAGAGAGTAAAGACTACTGTTAGTGCAACTGTATTCTTCTGAGCAGTGTTCACAAATGCCACTCCTCTGTTTCACAGGACAAACCGACCTGCACTAACCAGTATAATGTATCCCAAGAGGCTCACTGCAAGGTAAAACACAGAGCTCAACATGTTCTCTATTCCATGCCACTACTGTTACTAAAGCACATTTCAAAATAAATTCTTCCTAAGCCCTAGAATTTTTTTTTAAGTAGCAAGAATTTATCGTAAAAAGCAAGTCGGACTAAGAAGGATACAAGGGGGTCTGGAAAGTGGATAGCACTCCAACTCCACTTCTCAAGGGTGTTTTATTGAACAAAACCACAAGATAAGGTAGGTTCAAAGTGGTACAAAACTATAGTTAACTAATAAGATTACAAGTAACTACTAAGGTAATATTGAGTAAATGATGATCACATTGGGAAGCAAGTCACATAGTATGTGCACACGGAGTAGACAAGAACTTTCCTGAAAGGGATGGGTCAAAGAGGTTTTGATTCTTCACATCAAGGTGACTGAAGTCTGTTTTCTAGATCTTCAAGTAACTGCTGGAATGAGAGATGGCTAGCTAACTCAAGATAGGATATCACAAAAGGACAATTAAATGGTCTTGATTTTGGAAACATGAACACAGCAACCAACTGTAGTATAAATAAGTGATTGAAAATAAGCACAAAAGATTCAAGTGTAAACATCTTAGGGAGCAATTAGTGAGAATTCATGGAGGTTAATATACATACTAATGTGCCAAATTTTATTCATGGCACAGTAACTTACCAATCCTCCACACTTGATTCTGAACTCTTACAGACACAGATGGAAGTAACAACAAACATGGAAAAGAGGATTTCAAATGAAGAAACTTCCTCCCCCACCACTGTCCTTATGTGCTATGGTTTGTACCTAAAATTTTCTTTACTCTGTAGCAAGCATACTCTGTACTTAAAAGGTTGCCTATCTATATATTCATGTTGAGCCAAAGACACCCTACCCATGTGAATTACTAGAAATACACAAAAAATACAAAAAATCTTAGTCCTTATGTGCTGTCTTAATAAAGTACCTGAAACCAGATAATGTATTAAAAAAACAGAAATTTATTTTCTAACAGCTCGAGAGCGTGTAAAAGCTCATCAGCAAGGCACTGATAGGTGCAGCTGTTGATGAGGACTACTCTCTACTTCCAAGACGATTCCTTCTCATTGGCTCCAGATGGCCAGTGTTGTGTTTTCACCTGCAAAATCACGTGCAGAAAGACAAAAGGGTTCCAGAAACTTATTGAACTCATTTTTTACAAGAGTTTTCATCTCATTTGAACAGCAAGAGCCCTCATGGCCTAAATATGTTTTAAACATCTCACCTCTTTATACATCACACCTAAGTTATGGAAGAGACACATTCATAGCAGTAAATACCAGTACCAAGGATCAGATGAAGGAGGAATCTTTTTTTTTAAGACTCTTTAGTTGTTAACAAAAACCACAACTGCCAAATGCCGAATTACTGTTTGACATGCCTAAATGGAACATGTGTGCTGGAAAATGGCAATTACTCAGAAGCAAGGGCACAAATAGATTTCAGGTCAAAGTGCAGCATACAAGGACCCACTGGACCAGACTATTCACACAGGAACCCCCTCCTCACTTTTCTATTCCGGCCTTTGTACTCCTTGTTATTTGACAAACCATGAAAGAAGACAGTAATTATTTCAATCCCAGTGGAACTCAAAGTAAAGCACATTAAACACTGAACAAAAGATATTTATCTGCTTGTGACTATTTCCAAGGGGAGTGGAAACCTGACATGATGGCATATGCTTGTAATCCCAGCATAGCGAAGCTGAAGCAAGGACAGCCTGGTGGGCTACACATTGAATGCAAGCCCAGCCTGAAATATATAGCAAGACCTTGTCTCCAAAACCTCAGGGGGAAGAGGAGTGGAGACAGAATATTTCCACAACTCTTTTAGAAATCTTTGTAAGAATATTTTACAAAGCATGCAACTAGTTACTGTTACTGTATAAGCACGTCAAAAAACTCTCACCTTCACCTTTAATTACCTTGTTTTAAAAAAATGTTATCATTAAATCAAATCCAGTCTTCAAATCCCAAGCTTATGTGGAAACTCTGAAAGCAATTTCACAAGACTTTGCCCCAATGATTTATATAATTGCATTCTAGCATCTGTTTAAGTGAGCAGCACCCCACTTTGAGGAGGGCTCATTCATTCTGACATATAAACTCTGGAATAAAGTGCATATAACTACCGTCCCTTTTCAATCTCTACAGTAGTGTTTTTATTCATAGACACTTCTTTATTAAAGAGGCACTGAATTGAATACAGGTAATAACATGACAATGTTGGGACATGATCTTAAATTGTGTTTCAAATCCGCAGAGCAACCTACTTTGGTTATTTTCAACCCTGCTTCACATCACTAGCAAGATATTTTTCTATGGCTTAAAAAATTGCCTAGTTACATGCTTAACAAAGTAGGTAATTCCAGCATTCTAGGAGACTGCTGCAAAAGGATCCCGTGTTCACATCCTGCCTGTACAACTCAGCAGGATACTTTCTCAAAGGGAGCTGGGGATGTAGCTCAGTGGGAAGAAGAGAAAGAGAAGAGGAGAGAGAGGGAAAGAGAAAGAGACAGAAAGAAAAAGAAAAAAAAAGACACACAAAGATAGAAAAAAAAAAAAAAAAAAAAAAAAAACAACGAAAAAACTACAGACTCACAAATGTGCTGGGCCCACAATTTACCTAACATTACCTAACACAGCCTAACTGGGTAGTTTAATTTTTCAAACTGCTGTCTTTTTAGTCGACTAAATTACAACTAGTAAATACTGCCAATGAGTAGTAAACCAATACGCTGAAGCATGGTGGGAGCCAAACTGAAATTAAAGTATCCTGGAATGCCCTTGAGAAGTTTGGCTGTCCTCACCTTTCTCCCTCTTCCAGATGGTAAGGTCAAACATGACAAATGTTGCAGTACATTTGCTCATCACTGAAGGCTAAAGGGAGGAAAAACTGATCAGAATAGGTTTAATCTCCCCTGAAAGGTGGAGTTTTAGCAAGAACAACGAAGACACAGTGCGTCCCTGATAGAATGCAGTTAGATACAACATCACAGTATGGGGCTGCGAACTAAACTGGGAAGGTTTGAAGGCATGGTGACACTCCGCGCGTCACCCCAGGCTCACGCAGAGGGCTCGCTGGTGTCATGAGACCAACCGCGGTTGAGCATTTCGTCACTCCCCCGGGGTAACAGCAGAAAGGCGCACTTAGGCCGAAGCACGTACTCCACGGCGCTAGGCACCGCTGAGGAGCGGGAAGGGGTGGGGGGTGCCAGAGGGAGGGAGTCGCGCCACCACAAGGAGCAAAGGCGGAGAGCAACGCCCCGCCCATCAGGCTTCTTCCCAGGCAACGGCGCGCGGGAGGGGACACGCAGGGCGAGGCGGGGCGGAGCGAGCGCCCAGCGAGCTCCTGGAAGGCGGGCTACTGGGCTACGGTATCGTGCCCGTCGGGTGGTACCTGCGCTGGAAATCCGTGGCATAGGGCTTCAGATACGGGTCGTTCTGCAAAAGGTGGCACAGTTCAGGCACGTCCGCCAAGGCAGCAGCCAGCTCCGCTTCGGAGCACTTGGCCCGCGGTGCTGGAGCCGCCATGTTCCGCCGCAGCCCGTGTAGCCGAGGCCCGAGAGGATCGAGGGGAAGGCGGAGCCGGAGGCGAGCCCGGGCGAGCTGAGGCGGACGGGCTCCTCCGGGCTCCTTTATAGCCCGCACGGTTGGCCCCGCTCCCCCTTCCTGGGCCGGGGTTAGTGAGGAGGAGCCGCCGATGCTCTCGGGCCACTCAGGCGCGGGCCCCGGAGGCCGGGAGGGCCTGCCCTCCGCCCCAACCCTGCAGCCGGCGGAGGCGGCCCGCGGACTGGAGCCCTGCCCGCCGGCCTCGCCCTGCCGACCGCGCTTTTACTGAGCGACCCCAAGGCGTTGTCCTTCAGATGGATGTGTATGTGGATTTCTTGGAAGAAACCTTACTTTTCTCTCTCTGTGTGTATATATAAGAAAAAGAAAGTAAACCGCAGGAAACGGAACAGTCAAGTTCAGATAATAGTGTGGAAGATTTTGATGTCACTTCTCACTGAAGGCTCTCCTAAGTTTGCCGTTCTCTTTCACCAAGATAGAGTATTTTGGAAGACGTTGATACTCTTCTTATACTGTGCTCTGAAACAGTGCAAGAACTTTTCCCACTCCCTATAAGGCCAAAAAGACAGCAGGCATTTATTTGTCTTTAATGATAATTGTACAAGCTTTTTAATGATTAATCTTTGATGAGACATGACATAGAGAAAATCATTAAACCAGAATTACATTCTGCTGCTTACTAATACTGGTAAGGCAAGAAACCTCTCTTGGTTGGTTCCTAAGTCTTCCATCCCATTAAATGACTTAGTTCACTGATTATTAAGAACATAGAATTTGACACTAGGAAAAATGTACTCAGCACCTCAGGAAGTTTCTAGCTGCTTTGTGCCTTGAAACTGAACAAGCTGGAAGTTATCCTTCTCAGTTAAAACTTGAGAGTGGGGAATCCCAGGTTTTGTGGAGGAGGGACAGTATTAGCCTTGGGTTTTGAGTTTTAAAACATTCAAAACAAGAATTTTTGTGAGGTGCTTATAGTCCAGAGACTCAAACTTTAAAGTGCTTGTGAACCACCCTGATGTCTTAAGTACCATTGTTAGCTATGGAATAAGCGTGTCTTACTGCATTTTTTACAAGGTCAAAGATGATGCAGCTGCTCCTGGTTGGGGGTAAATCTGTTAGGCAGATTGTACACATAGTAAGTAAAAGCCATAGAAACTTAGCACCTTCTCTTAGCTTTGGAGACTGAAATCCAAAGTCAGAGTGTCAGCAAGTTTGGCTCTTTCTGAGTGCTCTGAAGCGCAGTTGTCCCAACATTAGATAAGGGACCACATCTTTGACTTGTACATGCATCATTCAGGTCTCTACTTTGGCTTCACATGCCGTTCTCCCCGTGTCCTCATCTCTTTAAATGTTCTTGGCTGTAATTCCGTTGTGAAATGTCTTCCAAAGTTAAAGGCTTGGTTCCCAGAGTGACAATATCAAAAGGTGGTAGGAACTCTTGAGAAGTGGACCCTATTTAAAAGCCACTGAGTCATTCAAAGTGTGCTCTTGTGAACCACAAACCCTCCCTCTTCCTTTTGTTTTGCTCCTCAGTGCTTTTACTCTACCATAGGCTCTTGCCATGGTGTGCTGCCTTGCCATAGGCCTAAAAGTAACTGGGCCAGCTAATTCTGGACTGAAACTTCTAAAACATTGAGCCAAAATCTTGTCTCTTTACCAGTAAATCATCTCAGGTTTGTATTATAGTGACAGATAGCTGCTTAATATAGTGTTCTTTCTATAAGGTCACCAGTTGTTTCAAATTAGAGATAACTAACATATGCAAAGATCCTGTTTCTAAATATGGTCATGTTCTAACTTACTAGAAGTTAGAACATTTATATAGCATTGTGAGGAAGGAGACAGTTCAGATCAGAAGAGTATTAGAATACCAAAACAAAAGAAATATTTGGAAAATGTGTAGGATTAACAACTGATTGGATATGGAGGCAGAAAGAAGTTTAAAAGACAAGTCTTTGAGCCTGGGTGAATTCAATCTTAACCAAAAATAGCATGGCCTTGAAAGAGGGAGAGTTCAAAGTGTTACCTCCTAAACATGCAAGTATAGATGTAGGGTTAGAATTTTTGATGCCCAAGAGGATATTAGAAGCTAACATTACAATTAAAGTACCGTTAATGTTTTTTCAATAATTGTCAGTAACAAATATTGACTGTTCAATACATTCTTTAAAATTGTTTCCTTTTGGTATTCCAGTCTCTTAATACTCAAAACTTTGTTATGCCTTTTTATACTACATACTTTTTCTGTTTTCACTAATCAAAAATTACTTTATCAAAGTTTACTTTCCAGTAGTTTGTGTTACAAAATCCAAAGGTTGTTGATAATGCTACAGCACAGATGAATCTTACAGATGTGCCAAAGTTAGAGAAGGCACTAGCAAAAGACCACATATATGATTTCATTTATATGCAGCAGTTAGAATATGCAAATCTGTGGAGACAAAACACAGAGTATTGGCTTTCATGGGCTGGGTAAAAAAAATGATTGCTAAGGAGTATTAGGGTTCTTCTTAGGATAATAAAATTTCAAAGCTTGATTGTAGCCATGATTGTACAGTCCTAGAGACATAGTAAAAACTATTGTGAGATCCTTTGAATAGATGTATTGTATGGTATTTGAAATATACTTCAGTAGACTTTTTTTTTTTTTTTTTTTTTTTTTTTTTTTTTTGGCATTTGGGATCGAACTCATCACCTCGCGCTTGCCAGGCAGGAACTTAGACTGCTAAACAAAATCCCCAGCTCTAAACTTATTTTTTCAATATGAAAATCTCAAACTACCTAATATTAAACAAGCTTTTAAAAAGTATTCCTTATTCATGGTGGGGGAAAGCAGGAAATCAAAGAGCTAAAAGCAAACTGCAAAGGCAAGTAAAAAACTAACAAAAACAAAGAGTGATGATAAAGGAGAAGTAAAAGCAAAGGAAAAATGAAGAGAATGGTGCATAAATCTTTGATCTTTAAGAACGTCACTGAAGATCCAGGCTACATAGTTTTTTCATAACCTCATGTTTGTCTTCTCATAGTCATGAAATGGCTGCCATAGCTTTAAGCATCATTCCTTGGTGAGGCCAGATATAAATCAAAGAAAAATAGTACTTATCTTGTGTTTTCACCAAGAGAAAAAAATTGCCAATGTGTCAATCAGCCTTCCCTTATATTTCTTTAGCCAGGGCTAGATCATATGCCTATCATCAAACTAGTGGTATGAATCAATACATCTACCATGATTAACTTAGACAAATGATGATTAAATTGAGCTCTCCTTTTTGCAAATCACATCCAAAGCATGAATAAAATGGTGACTCTAGTCACATGAAAGAAAAAATATGGGTAGCATTGCCCTAGATCACAGTGTCTTAGTCACTTTTTACTCACTGCTGAGACAAAATACCTGATGCCCAAAGATGGGAAAGGAAAAGTTTATTTCTAACAGTTTTTGGAGGTTTCAGTGCATATTCAGTTGGCTCTAAGGCAGGGTGGCATGGCAGAGCCACAGTTCGTGGTGGCTGCAAACAGCAAGGCCAAAACCAGCGAAGAGCAATACACACTTTTCTGCCATTACATCACATCCTGGCTCCACCCGTATATGGGTGTGGCCCTGACACCATCAATCCAAGCACTAGACAATGAACCAATCACAAATGCATAATGCGAATACATGAGGCCTGGGAGCCACCAACATAAACCATGACACCCAGTAACCATGAAATATCAAGTTCTGCTATCTAACTAGTCTCCTTATGATTTTACAGTACCAACAACTCATTTTCCTGGTACATACTATCAGAAATGCTTTACACCATAAGCAGATAAACGTGCTCACATACCATATCATAATTTTGGTAAATATTTCTCCTTGCTTTGGAAATCCATCCTACAAACAAGGCCTGCACAGTTTTACAAGCCTACACTGCATAAAGTAAGCTAAACTAGGAGAACAATTAAGAGCTTTCACTCAAAGGAAGGCAAGTTTTTTATCTTCTTACTTTGCATAAAGATGCATCCCAGTCTTCAAAGAATACATAAACCCACCAACTGGAAAGCACATGGTGTGAACTTAGAATATCTTCAGGAGGGCTCCTTGAGTTTGAAGTTTCATCCCAAAAGCAACAGCTTTCAAAAGCAGGGTTTTTGGGAGATGATCAGATCTTAAGTGAACTAAATTCATCAACAGATCAATTGATCAGTGACTCAATAGCATAAAGTGCTATTGGAAGGTGGGACCGAGCTGTAGGCAGTAGCCTGTGGGCTACTGTATTTTGACCCTGGCCCTTTCTACCTTCTGGCTGCCATGATGTGAGCAGCTGTCTTTCCGCTCTGCCTTTCTGTCATGATGTTTCTGCCTTCCCGTAGGCCTTAAAGGGAGGGAGATAGCAAATCTTGGACTGAAACCTCTTAAACCATGAACTAAACTATATCTTTTTTCCTTTAAGCTAATTTTCTTACTTACTTGCTCACATTTACAAGAAGTTAACGTAGCACCTTTATCAAATCTACATATAGACACAGTATAGGTAAGTAGGTTCCCTTCCCTCAGTGTGTCACCCTCATCCTCTCTTCCTGTCAGCAGTATTCCTCTCCCTTCATTACCAAATGCTTAAGAAATTTACTGCTCAGTGCACTGTGAGCTCTGTGACTTGTGGCTGTGTGTAGCCCCCATGGGTTAAGAGAAGGAAAATAAATACAAAGAGATTCCTGATCTTGTAGTGACAGAACAGCTCAGGCTAGACATGAAACATTTGAAATAGTGGTAAGTATGCCAGTCATTAGTTTGTTTGGTACTGTTTAGTTCACTGCACATTTAATCTCAAAGAATAAATGTTTGAATAAAGCTAAGATAAGAGATGTTTAGGGTGTGTATAACAGAAGATCAGGAAGGTCAAGAAAGTAAATATGGCATGCAGATGCTTAGCTCTGAAATTCAGCTTTTAAAGGTGGTTATAACAGTGAAGAAATTGGAGATCTTTTTTAGTGCTGGACAAGAATTTAGCAAGGATGACAAAAACAATTGGTAAGAGAAAATTTATAATCTTGAGTACATGAATTCTAATCTCCATAATTTATAACATTGCAAGATACC